CTGCTTTCGTCTATTGTAATTTCTACCTTTCAAGCAATCAATGATCAAGTCACGTTCAATACATTTCAATTTCATGTCGCAAGCTTTCTTTAAATTGTAATCAAATTTCCTTTCGTCCCGAAACGATCGAGAGAAAGCGGAAGGTAGTCTAGTGGAGCAGACTATTGCTGCACGGTGTCCCTTTCTGTACTAAGAAGAAAGGTAACCCGTGAAACTATGGATGGCAATTTGTCCCTCCAAACCCAAGCCCCACCACCCCGAACGGTATCGGGCATTAACTGTTGCCCCAGGGCTGGAATCTCCACACCACTCTGTTATGTCTAAATATTTAAAAAAAAAAAAAAAATTTGTTTGAAATCATCCTATCCCAAGTTTCTTATGCCAAACCCGAACTGATTAACCAAGCCCATGAGTCCAAATTCCCAGTTTACCCACTAGCTCATAGAATTTACAAGAAAAAAAAATTTTAAAATAAAATGAAATAAATAAAGGTATAAATGGGGCGGGGGATATCCCGAAGCCAGTCTTTAAGTAATTTGTTAGACGATCACTAAAATGTTCGAAGTGAATTTGGCAATGGCTGTAGGATACTCTACCAAGTTGTCTCCATGTTGAAGTAATGACAATTTTATGAGACTGGAAGAAGTTAACTGCCTAAAACTTCTTCGGAAGATTTGTTGCAGGGTATGCATTTTTATCAGTATCATTCTTCCTTTTCCCATCCAATTCTTTGATGTATATGTATAAGTCTTATTATATAAGAGAAAATGAATTTCTAAGAATACCCATTTATTTTTCTTGACCAAAGTAAATTTAGTGCAGCCCCAACTGGAAATAGGAAAATACACTAACGATTTGGCCAAGAAACCAGAGACCAGGGAAAGAAAAAGGACACAGAAATAAATTACTACTCAAAAGTCTTACTTTCTTTGGACGTTGAAGAGAGGAAAGGATCTCAGCCTCTTCCACTATTCCAGATATTGTAGGCAGATCAGTGTACGAGAAGATATCAGATGTTCCAGAATCAGTAATATTCACATCATATGAAGGTAGATTAACTGTAAGGGATTTCTGGGTTGGCATAATGATTTCCACGGGCATCATCCTCTTCAAGGCACTAAATTCGGTTGATATATTGATTGTTCTCGTCTTTGATTGGCCTGGATGGAAGCACAACCGTATTAGATGATCAACTAGAGTAGCAAACTGTACAAACATGGAATTAGAACCTCCCTGAGAGGATCCTCTTCTTGCAGCTTGTATAATCTCTGCAGCAGCCTCCCTCCTTGTAGGAACTGTGGATTTTGTAACTGCTGCCATGGTCCAAAGGGCTTGTTGTGTATATCGCCGAAGAATAGAAGTAATGATATGCTTCACCAAACGGACAATTTCTTCATTTTGGTGGCAAATTCT